TTGATTTGGCCAAAGCAAGGAGGCAGGAGGGCAAAATCTTTCAAACCCGTCTTAACAAAGAGGAGAAGCAAGGAGTTTTCATGCATCTAGAGAGTAAGAGAGAGAGAGTTTCAGGGAATTGAGGGGAAAGTCTGGGATTTTTTTTTTTTTAGCCTCAGATAATACCTTGAACAGACTTTTGGGTGTCAGCAGCTAGTCGCAATGTCCTGCAAAGCATAATTCCTTCTGCAAACTTTTTTGTGACTCTAAAGCTACCTCTTCCTGCTTGACAAAGAAAATGTACACCAGCAGTTTATAATTACATTTTGGGAACAAGAAATATTGGGCAAAAAGCGAGTGGTTAGCATGTGCAAGCAAGCAAGGACCTCATCAGAATTTCCATTACTCCAGTCAGTAAAAAATGCTGAGGAGCTGAAATCTCAAGGGGCCTGGTCACAGGAGCCTGGATTCTGTAGCCAGGCTGCTTGGGTTTAATCACATCACCACTTACCAACAGTGCATCAAAGGCAGCCTATATAACTTCTCTAGGTCTGAGGTTTCTCATCTGTAAAACTGGAATAACAACAATATTTAATGTGCACAGGACACTAATATTTGTAAAGCGCTTGGTGCTCAGGTCGATGCTATGTACATTTTTGTTAAATATATAAGTTCAGGCATGGAAAAAGTTAGACTCACCCAGGAACTGGGGCTTGTTTCATAACCCCTGGGATGAAAAATGGCTGGGCTGAGGAGACACATGGAGATCTTTCAAGGTTTGCTGGACCATATAAGAATACAGACTTATTGTTCCTTATTAACCTTAGACAATGAGCACCTCAGAAGACACAAGATTCTTCAGGAATAGAGAAGGCATAATTTTAGAGAAGAAATACTTTCTCTGCTTTCCTTTTCGCCCAAGCCCATAAACATTGCCACATCATTAAAAAATTTTCCATGACTTCCTGGGAAACCAGGGACACGAATGGAGTATGACATCTGTGATTTATGTTACTGTCATGTGCTTCTGTGAAATTCCTTCACATCCTCTTCAGTGGCACTGGATAAATTTGGATTGACTAGGTGAAAATGATGAGGTTGAAAACAGCAAAGAATCATTTTTGTCTCCTGTTTCAAAGTTTTTTAACTTGTACATGAGTCCATGTTTCCCTCTTTGGTCCTATTGGTGAACTATTACCCTGGCCAGAGTGTCCTCTCAGCTTGTCAAAGTTCTAACCATGTTTCTTGCTAGTGCACACTTCCTTAGATATCTCCCCTTATTTTATATCCCTCTATGGACCAGCTGTGGAGTCAGGAGACAAGGATTGGGCATGAGAAAACCTGGGCTCAGATAAAAGATCTGAATCTTTCTAATGAAAATACATGAACTAAATCTCATCATTTTAGGAAGATATGACTTATCTTTAAGGAGAAGTATTATCTCTATACAACAAGACTGTTTTGAAAATTAAATAGAAAATAACATGTGATATACTAAATGCACACACCACACACATTTGTATATTCAATATTTAATGGAATGGCTACTTTCTCTGAACCAACATGGCACATTTTGTACTTCCTGTGTAGTACTTATCACTTTATCCTTTTTAAAATTTTTTCAAAAACAAACATTTGAGTGTAACTGTTTGTGTAACTGCATAGTTACAATGCACTGTGCTAAAAGCCTTAGGAAATATAAAAAGGAGACACACGTGATTTACATCAAGGTTTGATTTTACAAGTGTCTTCCTTTTCCCACTAGAATCCTCATTTTCCATCATGGTCCCCTATCTTCAAATATAATCATTTTACAAGTATTTGATGATTCCATCTATTTCCATAAATTTACTTATCAGCTCCACTTCGATCCATACACTACTAATTTTGTTCCAAATCTTCATATTTTTATTCTATTGTTTAATTCAGTACTTCCACAAGAGTTACAGGAATCCTTAAAAACATGCCCCAAATGGAACTAATTTTTTTAAATGACTCTCTTGCTTAGTATTTTCATTAAAAGCTTCTTTTTCCTTTTAGTGGCTCAACCTCAAAATCTTGAAGACATCTCCTTGCTTACTACTATCATAAAAATGACTACATTCCATTATTTCTATTTCCACATTACCTTTGCATCTAGATTCTTTTCACAATTTCATGAACACCCCTGGACTTACCACGCAATTTGAAAATTAGGACTGTAATAGTAACCTACATCTGACTACATGGTACCCCTAGTTCCAGTTCCCTATCTGAATTTCCTCTCATCCTGAATCCTGCAGGCATCTTTCTTTTGCTTTTGTTTTTAGTGCACTTTTATGGTATATGCGTATACTCCCCAAAGTGTATTTTTTGGTTATTGTAATTGTTTGTGACCTTACAAAAAAGGATATCAATGATAATCTTACAGGTTTTACATTTTTAAAACTTAGTAATATGTTGCTAAGATTTACCAAACTGTAGCATATCTCTGTGGACCATTCAGAAAAAGAAGGATTTCTCTATTGGCTTGATTGACTGATCCAATTACCAAGAATGGTGTGTTGCTGCTGCATGATGGAGGTTGAGAACTATCTGGAACTGTCTGGGGTGCTTCTTAGTATTTCCATGCCCAATATAAATAAATGAATAGAAATGGTATCAATCAAGAGCAAAAGGAGTACTCAGACCCTTGAAACATGAAAGTTTGGATTATTTCACTAAGTGAAGACCAAGAGCCAGCTGCTTGACAGTCCCTCTCAAAGATGTGAGCATCAGATATATGGTCACCCTTCCTCCCAGGTTTTGGTAACACCACCTTTCCCTTTGGTTTCCCTAGTCCTAGTGAAAGGAACTTCTTCCTGTAGTTGATAATCTCTAGGTGACCTGAATATCTGTTTTTTTCTTCTATAGTCTCTTCTAGGATATATTTATATATCTAATTCTCTGTATTAAATATTCTTGGCTTAAACGTACAAGTGTAATTTCTCTTTCCCGAATGGATTCTAAGTGACCCTAATGGACACACCAGCTACATAGTCTTTTCCAGACTTAGTCAACCCTGGGGCATTGGTACATGAGGTAATTTAAACTGCAGTGTAAATATTACTTCAGGACAGCATGTTTGACAGGATCAAACGGAGATGGCTGAAACAATTATTTGACATATAGCTGCAGTGATTTTTATTTGCAGTTAGAACTACATAGATTTCTATAATTATTGTAGAAAATCGAGCAGGAGAGGTCAATGCCCCTTGCCTAACTTAAAGCAGAGGAATAGTATGAGTTTGATCCAGGCATTTCCTCAGGTCTTCTTTTATAGTATTTTTTTGGAATTTATTCTTTCATTTTGGAAAATATTTGAAATATCTCATTCCATTTGACCGGATTGAGCTTATCTATACCAGAAAAATTAATTTTGCATTCATTATTTCAACATAATATTGCAGGATTCATTTATTTATTTAACACAATTTTATTAAATAGTTACCATGTGCCAGCACTGTTTTAAGGGCTGAAGTTACAGCAGTGAACAAGACAGATTTCAAAACTTCACATTCTGATGGGATGACAGACATTAAGTATATGTAATATTTTCATTGCCCAACCTTGAAAATTCCCTAAGGAAAATACCTTTGTCCCCTCCATCATTTCATCATTCATTCACACAGATTTACATTCACTTGTAATCAAACCCTTTTTGGTTAAAAAGAAGATAACTATAATAGTTTTCATCCTTGATGTTTTATGGTCCCAGAAAGCATTAAAAGGTGAGCACTGTCATCTTCCAACATTCATGGACAAATTCTTGACAATGTGAATTATCCATAAAAATGATTTTATATTTTTAATGGCAGTTAGAAAGAGGAAATAATAAAGAAATGTATATACTGTTCCCAGATATACTCAATCCATCTTTTCATAAGTACTTTCCTGTTTGGGAATATGAGATTTATGAACAGTCATTTATGCTTTAATATTTTGAAAATTTTATAAATTTCTCATAAGTAGAATCAAATAATAGATAGTGGAGTTTCCTAGCAGGTATTTAGTGACCTGCTGGATTAACTATCACTATTTTGGAGAAAATCATCTACTTAATCAGGACTGGTCACCAGAATCAAAGCCTCATCTTCCCTAGGCTGTGCTGGAGAAACTTGACCACATCATTTTCAATACTGTTAGTTTTTCTTTGTCTATTATATGGCACCCACGTTTTTGTCACTGGAGCTCTATTTCATGTTGCAACAAATTAATTAAATCATTTAATTATATTAATTAGATCAGATAATTTGTTACCTTAAATTACAATTAATCTATTGATGACTTTCATTTTAGTAAGAGTTTAGGGAGAGTGTATTATCTTTAGATATAGTGTGGTTAAATCAACTGTGAAATAAGCAAAAATATTTCCCCAGGTCAGATCTTTAAAAGTGCTAAGGATGGGTAAGTAATTTACAGTCTGATTATTTCTAATTATTATCTGATTACATTTCAGAGACTAATATTTTTATCCATTCATTCCATCTCCAACAATACTTATTGGATGCACTTTAAATGACCAAGATTGTGAAGGTACAGTGATGTGTGAAGACAGCTCTTGCCCTCAGGGGCTTACAGACCTAATAGGGGGGATTAAGCATGATTGTCAATTTTTGACAATGAATAGTGATTCACAATCTTGAAAGCATGAGCTATTGTAATTCACACACCCTGTGACACAAGTAGGACAGTTATCATTATTCCTAATATTTACATGTAGAAGCTGAGGTTCAGACCCTCCTAGCTTTACATTGCTTGTCAGTAGCATAGCTGGGACATGAACCCAATATTCCTGTGCTGCTGCTCTGCCAGAAGGAGAAGGAATATGTACAAACTGATAATTTAAAAAAGATGTCTCATCAAACTATTACATTTCTGAGAAAAGTAACTTCAGGCTGAAAAGACCAAAGGGAGCTTCTTGGAGGGCGATAACATTGATGCTGGATTTCCAAGTGTACTCTAATTGAGGACTACAGTATTTAAAGAAGGGCTCACATTAGTTATGAGAAGACTCTTTTGCTGAAGAGTTTCCACAGGGCAGCCTTCATGTCCCGATTTCTCAGACTGTAGATGAACGGATTTAGCATTGGGGTCACTGCCATGTACATAACAGTTAGTACGGCATCTTTTAGGCTGTAACTGGTCAGAGGGCGGAAATACATGCCCATTACTGTGCCATAATACAAAGAAACAACTGTGAGATGAGAGCCACAGGTGGAGAAGGCTTTGAGCATACCCTTGGTGGATGGAACCTGTAAGACTGTGAAAAAGACTCTAATATAGGAGATAATAATGCATAGTAATGGCACTGAGAAAATGCCAACCCCTAGGTACATAATCTTTACATTAAACTGAATGTCAGAACAGGACAGCTTGAGCAAAGGGGTAATATCACAGTAGAAGTTAGCCACCTCCTTGTTGCCACAGAAGGACAAACTAGCTGTGAGTAGAGTGTGGGGGAGGGCATTGGCATTTCCAACCACCCAAGACCCAACAACTAGCAGGACACAAGACCGTGGGCTCATAATTGTTGTGTAATGAAGAGGGCAACTGATGGCCACAGCTCTATCATATGCCATTGCAGCCAAAATATAACTGTCTGTGTTACCCAAGGCAATCATGAAATACATCTGTGCTAAGCATCCTCCAAAGGAGATGGATTTGCTCCCTAAGAGATGGTTGGCCAGCATCTTAGGGATGGTTACAGATGAGAAGAAGATGTCAACAAGGGAGAGGTTGGCAAGGAAAAAATACATGGGGTTGTGAAGGCGAATGTCAGAACAAATGGCTAGGATGATGAGCAGGTTTCCAATCAATGTGATGGGGTAGATTAATAGGAAGAGGATGAAGAAGAAATCTTCCTGTTTCTGCTGACTGGCAACTCCTAGGAGGATGAAGTCTAGTGTAGAGGACTGGTTTTTCCCACTCATGGCTCCTTCATCATGAAAGGGAAGAGGAATCCAGAATTGTTAGTGAAGTGATTATGTGTAGTGATCTTCCTTATCCACCACTTCTGACTTAAGTGAACAGCTGTCTCTACACTAGAGTTTATTAAATATAGAGATGCCCAATACTTTGGGGAAAAATGCTGTTGGTCAATGGGACTAATTGTCATTCAACCCTGCATAGTCATGTCTACAAAGTGAGAAATCTGTGAGTCAGAGATGCCTATCCTTTTGGTCCCAGAATCACAACCCAAACACCTAGAAATTAACAACTTAACAAATAATTAAATTTTTTATTTCACAGTCTAGATACTTTGTTAAACCTCATGGAGAAGTCATAAATATGTGACAAACGCACTTTATTCACTCATTCATTCAAGACATAGCCTCTCTTCTCAAGGACCTTATAACTTAATGGATAATCCAGAATCAAACACTAATTTTATTACATATGAATAAGGAAAGGATACCTTTTTGAAGTCTTTGACAAAATACTCCAGTACAAAGGGTCTGGTAGTGGAAGGACCAGTCCAGAAATTAGGAATTGTTCCATTGAACAAACTCCGGGTGATTCTGGAGTCCAGGAGATAACAGGTGTCTGTGATAGCAATGGAAGATTGTAAATCACAAAGACCACTGCATTTAGGTCCTACCAAAACAGCCCAGTAAATTTTCTTTCCAGGTGTTTCATTTTCAAAGTAAAAATCACTTCCTTTAATAGGTTTTGTCTTTGGCAAACCCTCAAATTTATGTAATCACAGTGCTTTTCTTCTTTTTCTGTTCTTAACTTCTTCTTTTTTTTTTTTTTGGTGAGTTATGCAACTTCTTAGTAGCTTCAACCACTGCTTAATAAACTATCAGGACTATATCTCTAGACATGATCTCTTTTCCCTGTATTTCCACATTCAGTCATCCTGCTGGCATGTCTGACCACACCATAAACACTGAAAATCCAGCCTAAGATGGGGTCAAAATTTTTAGGGAAGGAGAATCATATATTTAAAAAAAAATCTCCTCCACATTGATTATTATGGAATATCGTTTATTTTCTCTCAATATAATACATTTTCTCTCAATATTTCTTGAGTTAAATCCAGGTTTATTTCTTGCATTCCCCACATGTGGGATGCTCACAAGCACAATCACCCAGTTTATGTCTTACATTGGCATCTACTCCTGAAATTATAGGTAAATATAAAAGTATAACCCCCAGCAAAATGCATAACATGTCTAAAAGAAAAAAAATCAGAATACTTTAGTGTGAGGATCAAAAAGGAAACTCAGAGTAAGAATTGTAAGCCAAAGTTGATGCTGTGGTGGCCCTTTGGGGAAGTTTCCAAACAGAAATTACACAGGCCTTAGAGGCTAGGTATAAGGTGTTTATATCCTTTGATACAGAAGATGTGGCCATAGATTGACATGAAACAGGGATATTAATTTGAGTATCTGAAAAATACTTAAAGTGTCACCCTATTTGTGAAAAAAGCACTAGAAAGAATTTTGCCATGCAGGAAATGGAGAGAATAGACAAAAGGATAGAATTCACAGAAAATGTGATTGTCAACAAAGAAAACCCAAGTGCTTTTCTAGATAAATTAAGAGATTTCAGCAAGTTTGTTTGTTATAAACAACAAAAAAATTTTTTTTGAGTCTGAGTCTCACTCTGTCACCCAGGTTTGGAGTGCAATAGCACAATCATGGTTATTGCATCCTTGACCTTCTGGGCTCAGGCAGTCTTTCTGCCTCAGTCATCCATGTAGCTGGAACTACAGGTGTGGGCCACCGCACCCAGCTAATTTATTTATTTATTGTAGAGATGAGATCTCACCACGTTGCCCAGATTGGTCTCAAGCCTCTGGGCTCAGGCAATCCTCTCACCTCCACCTCCCAAAGTACTGAGATTACAGACATGAGCCACTGCGCCCAGCTAAACAAATATTAAAAAAAAAATAATATTGTTGGCCGGGCTCAGTGGCTCAGCCTGTAATTCCAGCACTTTGGGAGGCTGAGGCAAATGGATTGCCTGAGCCCACAGGTTCGAGACCAGCCCGGTCAACTTGGTGAGACCTCGTTTCTACAATATATCAAAAAATTAGCAGGCATGGCAGTGCATGCCTATAATTCCAGCTACTTGGAAGGCTGAGGCAGAAGGATCACCGGAGCCCAGCAGGTCAACAATGGGGTGGCCCTGAGTGTTCCATTACACTCTAGCCTGGGCGACAGAGTGAGACTCCAACTCAAAAAAAAAAAAATTTAATGCTGTTCTAATAATTAAGCAACACTAAGTTAGAAATACAATTTTGTCAAAGACGTCTCATTCAAAATAGCAAGAACCTTTTAAGGAATCCAGAAATGATTCTAACTAAAGAGGTCCAAGACTGGTTTCAAAAATTAATAAACTTTAGTGAAAAACATAAAGGATATCTTTAAAATGGGAAGATAAATTATGCTATCAGAAAGCTTCAATGTAAAAATGTCAATTCTCTTTCAATTAACCTTCAAACTCAATTTAATCCCAATCCAAATACCACAGAGTTAATTAATTAATTAATTAATTAATTAACGTTGGAGTCTCACTCTGTTGCCTAGGCTGGCACACTCATGGCTACTGCAGTCTCAACCTGCTGAGCTCAGGCAATCCTCCCACTTCACCCTTCCAAGTAGGTGGAACTACAGGCACGCATCACCACACTACTAATTTTTTAATTTATCCTAGAGAGGAGGTCTCACCACATTGCCCTGTCTGGTCTTGAACCCCTGAGCTAGATAATTCTCTCTCCTCCACCTCCCAAAGGGCTGGGATTATAGCCTGAGCAACCACGCTCAACATAGTTTCCTTTTAAACATGAAAAACAGTAAACTGATCCATAAATTTATGTAGAAGAATAAAGAGCCAAGAAGAGGTGAGAAAAGAAAATAAGGAAGAAGGAATTGTCCCATCAGGTATAAAAATGATTTACTGTGATAATTCAAACATAGTAGTAGTCGGCTTAAACAATGACAAATAGACCAAATAACAGACTAGAGATCAGACACAGAGTAAGCATTTCTTAGTAGGTGGTATATGACATGGGTTGGTTCAGAAAAAGGCAGTGAAAAGGATGACTATTTAGCCAAGAGTCCTGGGACAATTGGTTACCTATAAGTGAGAAGTAACACAGAAACAAAACAAAACAAAACATCTTAAAGGATTAATTGTGTAAAGCAAAACTTCCAAAAATTTAGAGGAAAATGTGTGTGAATATCAGGGTAGAAATAGACGTCTTAAACCAGGCACAAAATGCATAAAAAATGTAAACTTTGGCTACTTTAAAACCTTTGTATGAAAAAGACATCATAAAGAAAGGGGAATGATAAATCATGGGCTAGAAAGAGGTATCTACTCCACACTTATTAAATGAAGGATTTGTAATCATACTACCGAGGAATCCTACACTGTAATTGTAATCCTAAGTTAGAGAAAAGAACATAAAGGTAAAAAACAAGTTGTTGGAAGATGTATGCCATATCAAAAATATATGTACACTTTAACACATAAAACAATACACTTGTATGTAGTAAAAGTATATAAATTCTGAATAGGAGTATACTTACTAACAGTAGAATAGTGGCTATTTTTGAAGTGAAAAGCAGAAAAATAAGATTTGGATGGTAACAAGGAGAGTTTCAAGTGTATCTGTAATATTTATTTTTAAATGAAAAATTAGAGCAAAAATGACTGTTTCACTTGTTAAATGTAGATGATTTTTGTGCATCATTTGCTGTATTATTCTGATGTTTTAACAACATAATAATGCATATTTACTTTAAAATACATGTTTCACATGTTTGGTGATGAACTGGTCCAGAGTGTAGCCATGAAGCTGGGTTGCTCAAGTGCATATTTCACTGAAGGTAGGACATAGTGTTCCTTGTGAAGAGGTTGAAAATGAATTGAGGCTTATTTACACTGGAAGAGGGACCCAGGGATCATATGTGAGGCTAGAAGTAAAAGGACCTTATACCATCAGGAGGAGAAGCAAGGAGGTACATCAACATGAATGCTAGAGACATGGCTTAGAGCCTTGAGTTCGGTGGAATGAAGTCAGTCTCAAATATTACTGTGCCATTGATATTCACTATCCTGGAAACTGTTGTCCTCTGAGATACCAGTCACATAAATGTGATGGTGCTGAGGACAGTTATACAGGGACAGAAGAGCGCAAGTGCTTCCCCCCTGTCACCTGGCTGTAGCACAGATAGCCAAGACAGATCTTCTGAGTGCTTTGAAATACCGTAAGTTTCTAAAGGGGCCTGTTAGCATGCACCCTTGAATGTAAGAATGGTTTATTGTTTTGTCGGTCCTCTAAGACAAAGCACTTGTGCAGGTACACACACACACACACACACACACACACACACACACACACACACACACACACACTATATTATTACAGGAGGTAGAAAGAGCTTAAGACTGAGAAAAACCAGATTAGAATTCTTGTTCTGATCCTGTTTTCATGGACCAGAGCCCAAGAAGAAGCATTATCAGAAAGGGAGGGTCCTCCCCCATCCTCCTGCGCCCTTTGTCCATCTGATCTTGAGAACTTGAGTACTGGAACCAGGCCAGATTTGAGTCCGGAATATTTTCCCTACCTCTCTGTCTGACTTTTGGCAATTCAATTCACCATCTTTTTTCATTTGATAAAATGACATAATAATTCTACTTACCTCTTGGTATTTAGAGAGTGCAGTTACTGGCTATCTATTCTTTGATGTCGCTGTCATAGACTCTTCTAATGTCTAAGCTCCTACCTGTGAAGTCAGCTCAGATGCCGTTAAAAGGGATCCTAGCCCTGTGGACTTTATTCCTTTTGTACAGAAGGAAACTTTGCAACCAGCCGGTCTAGCACCTGCTGACATCCCTTTGGGGGGCAGACATTCTAGAGAAGCCATAATAGGCCTGGGGAGCAGGTCACTGATCTTCTGTTCCTGAGGAGGAGGAG